TCGTGGTCACTCATAGACATATGCAGAATGGCAAAATATTTGAGTCACTTTACATGCATGTTCTCAGCTGAAGTCAAACAGAATAACACTCTGCCATCCTGTTTCAGCTCTTTTACTATAAACAAGTGTCCTTTTCACAATGAATTTATTGCTTTTTTTAGGCTTTTTTTTTTTTTTTGCTTCTTCTTGGTAATGTCACTATTTAAATAGACCCAAGTATAGTACTGAAGGGCTGTCTGGTGGTCCTACTGTAAGAACCTTGTGTCTTACAGAGACAGTGTATTTAGGTAAGCTTTGTTCAGGCATGAGTTAATAGTGCTGTTGCCTATGAGTTTGGTGTTAATGAAGCAACCATATACATTAAATAGGGTATCTTTAAATGAAGCACACACACACTATAAAACAAGTTATATGTTAATTCATTGATGAAAATGATGTAATCAGAGGCTTTCAGGAACCTAACTCTTTATTTCGCCCCTAGAAGCAGTGGTTCAGTATTCACTAATTCAGTGTTCACAGTGACTATAGAACATAACTGCTTCACATAATGAGAATGGGCTGCACAGTGGAAGCTCTCTGTAGCACTCAGCAGCCTTAGAGTGGAGAGGGTAAATGGGTGGCTTCACCCTAGAATTAGTTTTGAAGGCCAGTCCAATTGAAGGAGAGAATGAGGTGGGGAATTAAAGTGATGACTCACCAGCTTTGAAAGATAAAGAGGTGAATTCAGGATGGGTTTGATAAAGGAAGTTACCAAGGGACTGGAAGATTGCATGAAGTTAGAGGGCAGGCATGCAGGGAATAATTACAACTGCAAGGATGAGAGAGTGTAGTCAAAGTCTTGCTGGAAAATGGGGGAGGGTAGAAATGAGGGCGATTAAAGAAGGCAGAGAACAGCATATTTGTTTTTAGATAGACCATTCATGGGAACTTTGAGCTCTAAGGGGTAATACAGAGATACTTAGGTCAGAGGACCTATGGTGCTAATAAAGACAGTTGGAATGTGTCTACAAGGTGCAGCTGTGTGTGCAACTCTCCAGAGATTCCAAGAACCCTGAAACGTGATGTAGGAATCCTAAATCTTCAGATGTAAAAGCAGGTATATAGAGGCCTATACCAAATATCACATGAGTGGCAGATTTGCTGCACAGAATACAGTGTATTTTTTCAGTTTACAAGACTCACAGCAATTTACCATGGAAAGATGCAGAGAAAGAATCAAGATTTGTTTACTGATGAGTTTAGGGAGAGGAGGACAGGAATGAATAGTCAAGAGTTGCTCCATTTTGACTAGTTGCTATAAAATGCTTTTTCTTCTACAGAGTTCAATGGATGTTACACTTCCAGAGTTGTCTTTGTTATCGTAATTTTTCAGTTTTCAGTTCCCTTATCATGTGACTTTCATCATTATGACATTTAAGATTGGCAAATGAGCATACTTATGGTTTGGTAAATAGAGGTAATGATTCCTCTCACTTCTGTTTGCACAGGGGTTGTGGAGCTAGATCAGCTTCCTCCTGACTGTCTGTAAAGTTTCACTGACAATTGTGGACACTCGGATTCCAGCCTTCCAAGCTTTTCTACTGGCCAAGGGGTTAGGTTTCATACCCCTTTTGTTGGTTGCTGTGATGGGGTTTGTAAATGGAACAGAGGCAAACCATATGTGTTCACTACTATTGTCATTTATGTGAAGAGTTGTCTAGAACTGTGCTGCCCAGTTCAGTAAACACCAGCCACATGTCTAAGTGGGCCCTTGAAATGTGGCTAGCCTGAATTGAGATATTCTCTAAGTGTAAAATTCATATTGGATTTTGAAGACCTAGAATGAAATAAAGAATGTGAAGTATTCTGTGAAAAAGTTAATAATTTTTCATATTGATAACATGTTGAATTAAGATTTTGTATATGTTGGATTAAACAAAATACTCAAATTCATTTCACTTGTTTTTTGTTTGTTTGTGGTTCCTGCTCTGTGGCCCAGGCTGGAGTGCAGTGGTGTGACTGTGGCTTGCTGCAGCCTTGACCTCCTGTGCTCAAGTGAGCCTCCTGTCTCAGCCTCCCAAGTAGCTGGGACTATGAGTGTGCCACCATACCAAGCTAATTAAAAAAAAATTGTTTTGTAGACACAGAGTCTTCCTATGTTGCCCAAGCTGATCTTGAACTCCTGAGCTCAAGTGATCCTCCCAAGTGAGCCTTGGGAGGCCTCCCAAAGTACTGGGATTACAGGCATGAGCCACCGCATCAGTCCTCACATGTGTTTTCCTTTTATTTTTTTAAGTTCCAGGGTACACATGCAAGATGTGCAGGTTTGTTACATAGGTAAATGTGTGCCATGGCGATTTGTTGCACCTATCACCCCATCACCTAGGTATTAAAAAAATATGGAGCACTTCATGAATTTGCATTTCATCCTTGCGCAGGGGCCCTGCTAATCTTCTCTGTATTGCTCCAATTTTAGTACATGTGCTGCCAAAGCAAGCACCTCACATGTTTCTTACTGCAGTTTTAAATATGGGTACTAAAACATTTAAAATTATATTTGTGGCTTATATTATCATGCTGTTGAAGAGCACTGTTTCTTTGAGTTATTTTTTGGATTTCCATGGAATAATTTGAAAACGATTGTATTAAATGATATACTTCTAAAGACCAAATTCTTGGGTCCAGTGATATGAATCCTTTTGAAGTTGTTAGTATACCTGAATGTATCCCGTATAAACAAAAGGATTACTGTCATGTGTACTTAACACCCCTCTACTAAGAGAGGTTTATTCATTTTCCTTGGAAATTCTTCTATAATAAAATGAAGTCAACATTTATGACAGTTCTACTGGATGGAATATAACTGAATTCCTTTAAGAACTGGTATCAGGGTTATCATTAGCTTGGATTTTGGACTAATCAAATGCTGTCATATTTTTAAATGTGCAATTCTTTCTCAAAGGAGCATTTGAATCTATGTCATGTCGAGCCATGATATAATGAGGTTTCATTGTCCCTGAGAGAGTGACTATTTTTAGAACTTAGGTGAACAGCTATTTGCAAGGCAGCCTTAGTAAATATAACAGAAAAGGCATTCATTTAAAAGGAGCTAATTTAAGAACCACTTACTAACTGCCTGCTCTCTGTTCAGTGTTAGTATTAACTGCACAAGCAAAACACAAAAGAAATTAAAGATGTGGTCCATGTCCTCGAAGTTCATCATCTGGCTCAGGAATTCCTAACCAACATCTACATTCTGATGGATCTGATGAGATGTAAGGAGCAATTAATACCTTTATAATAGCAGCTAAAGCACTCAACTTTGAAAATTATTTATTTAAATAATATTATTTATTAAAAATTGCAGATCCAAAGTTACCTTGAGAAAACACCACTTCCACATATGTTCTTTTTTTCTATGGGAATTGTGCATGGCTTGCAGTTATTCATTCCTAAACCAGGTCTTCAAACCTAAACCCAACTAGGAGTTGGGACCAGCCACACAGCAGGAGGTGAGCAGCGGGGAGGCAACGCCGATTTGTCTGTGTTTACAGCTGATCCCCGTTGCTGACGTCCGCCTGAGCTCCGCCTCCTGTCCAGATCAGTCAGCAGCATCATTCATTAGGTTTGCACAGCAACATGAACCCTATGTGAACTGTTCACGCCAGTGATCTAGGTTGCACACTGCTTACAAGAATCTAATGCTTGATGATCTGAGGTGCAACAGTTTCATCCCGAAACCATCCCCCACCCCCAGTCCATGGAAAAATTGTCTTGCATGAAGCCAGTCCCTGGTGCCGAAAAAGGTTGGGCACCGCTGCACTAAACCATGGTTTGAGGCAATGTGTAGACACAGTGACTGTTGTTCCAAGGTATAGCCAGGGGGAAGGTTGAACCGTGGTTGTAGTTAGGGAGGTTCTGAGCTACAAGAGAGGTAGCAAATCCTTCAGAGGCATTGTTTATAGAGACCATTCTGTCTTCCTATTACACATATTGAAATGTCTTCAGAAAGGGACCATTTGGGAAGTTTTTATAGAGCAGATGGCCTAAAAGAACTTAGAGGATTCAGCTTGTAAAGTTAGTTGAGGGGTACTTTAGAAGGGGAAATTGATGTGACTGAGGATACCTGAGAGGTTGAAAGGTGATTTATGAGAAGCGAGAATACCTTAAATTGGAAGATAATTGGGCCAGGCGAGGTGGCTCACGCCTATAATCCCAGCACCTTGGGAGGTTGAGGTGGGTGGATCACTTGAGGTTGTGAGTTTGAGTCCCGCCTCACCAACATGGAGGAACCCTTTCTCTAGTAAAAATGCAAAAAATTAGCCGGGCGTCGTGACACATGCTGGTAATCCTAGCTACTTGGGAGGTGGAGGCAGGGGAATTGCCTGAACCCGGGAGATGGAGGTTGTGATGAGCCGAGATCGTACCATTGCACTCCAGCCTAGGCAACAAGAGCGACACTCCGTCACAAAAAAAAAAAAAAAAAAAAGAAAGATAATTGTTTCATACATATAATTTTCTAACTGTTGCACTAATTCGTTCTAGAGTTTATTGTTCCCAAGGAACTTTGTGATGAATCTATCTTAGTGTTTAATTGCCAGGAGCTTCCAGAAAATTGGCTATGTTTTTGGGGAAGGGGAAATGGGGTGAGAAGGTGATTGACTTTCTTGGGTAAAATCATTATTTGCCAGGTGTTGTTGTGGCCAAAGTTATTTATCTTGGCTTCATGTTGTATAAATACAATGCAATCATCTATGAGCTTAGCAACTCAAATAGGACAGTGAGTACTTTTGGGCTTGTGTATATGAAAATTAACACATCACATTTCTCTAGAGTTTTTCGAAAGTACTTTTAAATGCTCCCATTTAACATCTTCAACAACTCTTGTCTATTTATGGTTAAGGAAACTGAGGCGCAGAGAGCCTAGTGTCTTTCCCCAGAATCATGTGGGTAATGAATGACAGGTCAGAACTAGACTTCGCTCTTGCCTTCTCATCCAAGGTTCTGTTCCCTGGTGTGACACCCTCTCTCAGCAGGGACCCTGCTGACGGTGACTATGTGGCTGGTGGCTGGCGTCTCCTGAGTTCCTCATACCCAGCCTGATCATGAGGAACTGACTCAGAGAAATGAGAGTCTGCTGATTCAAAGCTGAATATCCTTTCCCAGTCTTTCATTTCTCAGCTTTCTCTTCTCCTAAATTGATTTCTGTCAACTCCCAAGCAGCTTAGTCTTTGTGGCTGTTAGAACTCTTAAAGCACTTTAAGAGTCTTTCTCACTAATTTATCAGTGATAAACGTATTGTATGGTATATTGTGGATAGGTATCTCTATTTTTGCTTGTCAAACCAAAACTGAAGGAGAACTATCATTAACTTAACCTCTACATAGATTTCCGTGAATAATTCTCATTAACTTTGTTATTCTGTTATATACATTGACTTCCATTTAATGGATTTGTAGCAGGCCAAGAATTAGTGGGATACCAATACAAAGGCTATTATGGTAGTCCTGGCAAAACACTGGGCTTTGCTGGACATGGAGACTCACACCTATAATCCTAGAGCTTTGGGTGGCTGAGGTGGGCAGATTGCTTGACCCTGGGAGTTTGAGACCAGCCTGGGCAACATGGTGAAACCCCATCTCTACAAAAACCACAAACGTTAGCCAGGTATGGTGGCGCATACCTGTAGTCTGAGCTACTCAGGAGGCTGAGATGGAAAGATTGTTCGAGCTTAGGAGGTCGAGGCTACAGTGAAGCATGATCTTGCCACTGCACTCCAGCCTGGGTGACAGAGCAAGACCCTGTCTCAAACAAACAAAACACATCCCAAATCCACCAGGCTTGGATTAGGGTGGTAGCAGTAGAATTTGTGATGGAAGCTGCCATCTCCCCATAGGCAGGAGTCAAGAGGAAGCCAGGAGTGCCACATGCTCCAGAGAAAACTTTTTGCACGGGCTTCGTATCACTGGTGTTGGGAGAAGAGAGGGCCTTCTGACAAGACCTTCTCCCACACCATTGGGAAACCTGTTACTCCATCACCACATCTGCTTTAAGGCTGTTGGCACACAATTTAATTTTCTTCTTTATCCTGTTTACAACTATTTACACTAACAGCCTTTAAAAGACCAAGGCTTCTAGGTTGTTTTTTTTTGTTTTTGTGTAAGTCTTTGTTGTTGTTTTCTAGAGTCAGTGTCTTACCCTGTCACTCAAGCTGAAGTGCAGTGGTAGGATCATAGCTCACCGAAGCTTCAAACTCCTGGGCTCAAGTGATCCGCCCACCTCGGCCTCCTGAGTATTTAGCATTACACGCATGCACCACCATGCCTCATTACTTTTTAAATTTGTTATAGAGACGAGGTCTTGCTGTGTTGCCCAGGCAGGTCTCAAACTCTTAAACTAAAGTGATCCTCCCACCTGGGCCTCCCAAAGTGTTTGGATTACAGGTGTGAGCTATCACATCTGGCCCTTGTAGGTTTTTTCTTAATTCAAGTCTTTACTCTCCATCTAGAGAGATGGATAATTAGGTAAATTTCCCTGCCCTTCAATATTCCCTATTGCTTACCCTTTCCCTGCTTCATCTTCTGCTATAGCACTCACCATTTGTTTTGGCACACCGAATATTTTTCTGAATTGTTGATTTTTTTTCTGCCACTATCATGTAAACTTCATAAAGGTTTGTTTCATGTATCGTCAGCAACCTGAACAGGGTCTACCACATGACGTGTTTGAAAAGATGAAATGTTTTAAGTGTTTAGATAGCACATTTAAAAAGTGAGTTCATGAATTATTCTACAAAAGCAATGAAATGCTTTTGTAGAAACTGGAAGAATGTCAGATGTTCTTTGTTTAGTTTAATCCTATTTAGTGGCTAATTTAATTGTAACACAGAATAATGAATAACTCTTAGTAATTCCAAAATTACCCTAATGTCAATAATAATATGTATTTGATGCCATTTACAGTAGCCTCAATGAATTTTTTAGTCCTCTGTGAGATAGTTATATCTCAATATTATAAATGTTAAAATTATAAATGCTTAAAAAAGTTGTAAATATAAGAGAGAAGCCTTTTCACAAAAACATTCCTCTCTAGGAAAACAGAGACCAGTCTAGTGTGGGACATAGGTGTGTAGTTGGATAGAGCAAGGCATATGAGAAGGTACAGAATAATGAGAAAGTTTTACCTTCATGCTCATGAGGTGGCTAAATTGGTAGTAGTGACTTTGGGCATGTGAGCTGCTGCTTCTTAATACTGACAGCATGTTAGTACAGGACTTTGTACAGCTCTGCATTGCCTGCTGAGGAATCCGGGCATCAGCAACAGAAAGTTCCAAAGCATTAACAGAAAATTCAGTTATGTTATAGCTATACATCCAAATGGAAGGAAGCTGGAGATAGTCAAGAGTTCTCTGCTAGGTATTTTTTCAAACATGCTTCTCATTAATTAAATAATTTCCGTGTTGATGTGGAGAATGGGAGCACTGAAAAGTGGCACTGCCATAGGGCTGTTTTCTGTGAAGTAGGTAGAGTAAGCAAATGTGTTAAATAAGAATTTCTGCAACAACTCTTCCAGACACCTTCTACCTTACTTGATAACGCAGTGCCCTGATCACATGATTTGCAGATAGTGAGAGATCTGTGAATGATTGCTGAGATGATGGCCCCAACCCAGTAGCTCAGCTTCCAACTTCTTAAGCAGGTCTGGACTACTGATACCTTTCCTGGGTCCAAATGCTCGTGACAACCTGGCTCGAAATCAAAGTTAAACTTTAAAAGTTATGTAATATTTTGTTGCTGATGTGTGTCTAACCTTTGGCAGTCTTAAAAATAATCCCATAGCTGCTATTAATTTCAGTGAAACATGGGGATGGGTTATAAAACTCACACATAAGAAAAGTAGATTGTAGATCGAGTTCTGATATTGGGCCTTTAAACAAAAAAGGCTTTATCTAAATTGCTGGTTATCTCCCTGATTCCAGAAAGGATGAATCATCTTACTGAGACAAATAGATATGCAGTGCCTTTTCTCATGGGTGGAGTTACACTGCAGGCCTGACCCGGCTACCTCTTTTTGGTGTTAAGAGTTTAGATATGAAGTAGTTAGAAACACAGCTTCATTGTAGCCCTTCTGGGCTGCAGTTTCATTTATCAGGTTGGGGATTTCCTGGAGCCTTATCTTTCTTTTCCTTATCTCTGTGTTGTCTGGATGCTGGTACTTGGTCAGATAGCCTTTTGGTAGCACTTTTTCAAAAAAATGTATAATATGCGTACTTTAAAAATTCCTCTCATTGTTATGTATATTGCATTGCTGTTCGGCACTAAACAAAGTTTCCAGATAAAGGGATGCTGTGGAGCTTTGTTTAGATACTTTAGGAGGGTATCTAAAAGCTACATCGTTTTGCTGGTTTATATGAATATTAATGATAGCAATAATGTTGAAGGAAAGATTTTGGGAGTCAAACTGCACCCTTCCAGGGTGAGTGCTTTACTTTTCCTTCCAGCTCTCTCAGGTTGTTTTGACTCTGACAGTTCTTTTAAAATAAAGCTTGTAGGACCGGGCGCGGTGGCACAGGCCTGTAATCCCAGCACTTTGGGAGGCCAAGGTAGGCGGATCTCGAGGTCAAGAGATCGAGACCATCCTGACCAACATGGTGAAACCCTGTCTCTACTAAAAATACAAAAATTAGCCAGGCGTGGTGGCACACACCTGTGGTCCCAGCTACTCGAGAGACTGAGGCAGAAGAATTACTTGAACCCAGGAAGCAGAGGTTGCAGTGAGCCAAGATTGCGCCACTGCACTGCAGCCTAGAGACAGAGCAAGACTCGGTCTCAAAAAAATAAAAAAAATAAAGCTTGCAGAATTATTGTAGATTAAAGAAATCAGGTTATCGTTAATGGCAAGATTTTTTTAAAAAATAGTTTTAACCATTGTTTGTAAGTAATACATACCTATTATTAGAAATTTGGAAAATATAGAATTTTTAAAAAGCATCTTGATCATGGGTTCTCGAAATCATTCTGATATGTTTTTCTATGCTTTCTTTTTTTTTGCTTTGTGATACTTCCTTTTTCTACATTCAGTTTTTAAAAACCATGCTTGTTGTCAAACTGCATATACAATTTTTATCCTGTTCTTTTTATTTTAACATAAGAATTTTCTATGTTTCACAGATTTTATAAAGATGTGCCACTCATTCACTGATTCTTTCTGTTGCTGGGTGCCTTCTGTCTGTGCTCTAGGTGCCAAATGCTTTACTCTTTAAGGTATGGAGACGTGAGTTGAGAATAATCTAGATTATAATTAGGAACTGCAGATCTTACTGAATTTCCATCTGACTTTTATCTGGATCTGAAAGTTAAATTACTTCCCAGGTATTTCCACATTTTAAGTAAAAACAGTCATACTGATTGATTTTTATTGTATATTTAAGCTAACTTTGTATGGATTAAAAAATAAAAATCACTTTGCCTCAAAGTATGTCCCTAGCTGAAGTGCTGGACTGGGAGTGGAGGGCAGAGCAGAATCCTGGGGAGGCAGGTGGAGCTTGTGTGCCTGGCTTCTGCACAGGGATTGTTTACAGGGGTGAGTGAGTAGGGTAGGGTTGATGACAAGGTGTCCGACAAGATACTTAGTCACTCACAAAGCACATGACTTGGGCCTTGTCCTCAGAGGACTGAATTAGTGAGAATCTAAACATTCTAGGTGGCATGGGCTTTGAGATGTAAAAGAAAGAATTTCACTTATCAGTCCGTGATATCCAATTGCCTCCTCCTCAGCCCCTTCCCAGATCTGTCTCAGTGGTCAGGCATGGACATGGTGTGAGGATGAGCAGGATAGCTCACTCATGAGCAAGGATGCCTAGATTTAAGTCCTGACTCTGCCACTGACAAACTATATACCTTGGACCAGTTCCTTAACCTTTCTGTGCTTCATTCTCCTCTTCTATTAAGAGAAGATATTACTGCTATCTACTTCCTTTGATTAAATGAAACACGTAAAACACGTAGAAGAGCACTCAGTGGATCTAACTACCAGTGTTTTTGACCCTATATGACTGAATTTGTATATATTGACAAATTTCCTTAGCGCTGAGTTCATCAGGTGAGTTTAGATGGCATTAGGATAGGTGTGTTATTGTTTGATCGAACACTGAACTGGTATTGGGAGGATGGCCTGCTGCTAACTCTTAGGCCCTATCCATGTTTATGTTTCTGAAAACAGCCAAGTATTGACAGACTTGGTTCCAATCCTGGATCTGTCTCCAAAGCCCATTCCCCTAAAGTAGACTGCTTCTGAAAATCTTTCACACCTCCTTACCTTAATCTACTGCTCTAGCCTAGGAGGAGGACCTGTTTTGTTTTGAATAAATTTTGATTGAATTATAATATACAAAGCAGTGTACATGTTCGTGTTGCTGTGTGTTCATAGTACCAGTACTGGGATCAAGAAACAGCATCCCATACTGTTTTGTGTCTTTCTGGGGACCGTACTTTGAAGATCTCTGGTAGAAAGATTTGTGATCATTTGTTCTTGTGCAAGGAGAAGGCACTATGGAACCATGAGAGGGAATTACCCCAATAAAGAGGAGGGTCATTTGTGATGCTGTGGATCATAAACATCTGCCACTCCCTCCCATCCTGTATTTTTCCTTTTTTTCTCATTAAAGTAATGTGAATAGACAGAGAAAGAGGGATTCTTTTTTCTTTCTTTCTTTCAAGACTGGACATGCTGAAAGGAGAAAGATTATTTATTGCAAGTCTCATTAAATGAGAATAATTAGAATGGACTTTTTAGGGAGCTGTATTATGTCTTAGATTTTTCTCCTTCAAGCTACATTTCTCAATTGTTGCTTTTGAGTTAATTTTTCATTGCATATCATGAACATTGCTTTTCATCATGTGAAGAATGTGAGATCAAGGAACTACAGAAATGCATGAATACTTAACCTAGAAACTTTCATGACTTGAATTCTCCCAACTCTAAATCAGGCATGGGAATGGACTTTTTCTCAGATGTCAGATTCTGGATTGGAGGTGGGTCCTGGCAGCACTGCATCCAGAGGTTTTGGAGAGGAGTCAGGCCATCACAGGAGACAGTGCTGTGATTGCTTAGAGATTTTGGCCACAAGGAAAAGAGGTTGGACTTGTCTTGAGTACTAGATGCTTGCCTTTGATGATCTAAATGATACTGTGCTATTTATTGATTCTTGAACTTGGCACTCTTCTCTAGGACCACTTAGTACCTGGCATATGGGATTGGAAACAGTACAAATAGCAGCTTTAACAAATCGAAGCAGTAGTCTCCCTTCCTTACATATACCACATGGATTCATCATGCTTTCATACTTGTGTGGTCCTCCCTTCCAGTGTCTTAAAAAGTTCATCAGTATTGTGAAAGTAGCAATGGTGGCAGCAGCAGTTCCAGTCCACAGCCTGGTGAACTGCGTATGGAGTGTGGGAGTCTAGTCAGTGATGGCAGACACTTTGTAAATGTGTAAACTTTAGATAACCCAAATTATTTTCTATGATACATGGATGAACTATAGAAAGGAAATAGATAACGGGGCCATGTGTAGAGTTACAAATAGGGTTGATGATAAATTGTAATATGTAACGTATTTAATATTTAAGAGCAGAGCACCCAGCATGATAATGAATAACAGTATGAATACTTACCTCTATAAGTATTTGATTCCATTTTTGGAAAGAGAAGATCAAAACAGGGAGATTAGATTGAGAAAGAGAATAGACTTTTAAGCATAAAAGATCTACACATACCTCCTCTTACTCTCTCAGTTGCTCTAATGTCTCAGAAGAATGGTTGTGATGATACAATTATGGATTTTCTACTACTGAAGAAATTTCCAAGCTCCCATTTAAACAGGAAATTTGAAGTCATATAGAGGCATCCCTTTTTAAATCTAATAGTTGTGGTTTTGTTTTGCATTTCTGTTTTATTACATTTTATCAGATTTTGAATTGTGGAATTATGTCTTATTAAGCAGAGTAACAGAGGAGCTGGCATTTCACTTTTAAAAAAATCTAAAAATCTTTTCTGTTAAGATATGTTGTGATTGGAGTGATCACAAGATGTTAAAAGTCTCTATGGGAGCTTTTGCTGTAGGAGGGAAAGGGAGAAATGGAGTGTGAGTGTACAGGCACCCTCCTGATCAGACGTATGCATCTGACTATCAAGGAAGCACACTGCTTGTTGCAGTTAGATTCATATCATAGTTTTGTGTTTTTGTTTTGTTTTTCGTTTTTTTTTTTTGAGACAGAGTCTTGCTGTGTCACCTAGGCTAGAGTGCAGGGGTGCGATCTCGGTTCACTGCAACCTCTGCCTCCCAAGTTCAAGCAATTCTCCTGCCTCAGACTCCTGAGTAACTGGACTACAAGCATGCACCACCACACCTGGCTAATGTTTTTGTATTATTTTTTTTTTTTTAGTAGAGATGGGGTTTCACCATGTTGGCCAGGCTGATCTCGAACTCCTGACCTCAAATGATCAGGAGTTGAGTGACCACCTCAGCCTCCCAAAGTGCTGGGATTATCAGCGTGAGCCACCGCACCCAGCCCGTATAATAGTTTTAATGCAAATATTTAGTGTTATTAAACCAATCAGAAAGTATCTGTTGGACATTTACCGTGGATAAAACCTGCGTGAGGTATGAAAATGAATGTCAAGACCCAGGCTTATATGCAAGGAATTTATAATCTAGTATATAAGAGAGATATTATACACTTTTTTTTTTTTTTTTTTTTTTGTGACAGGGTCTCTGTCTGTTGTCCAGGCTGGAGTGCAGTGGTGTGGTCATAGCTAACTGCAGCCTTGAATTACTGAGCTCAACTGATCTTCCTACCTCAGTTTCCTGAGTAGCTGGACTACAGGCACATGCCACCACTCCTGGCTAATTTTCTCATTTTTTGTAGAGAATAGGTCTTGCTATGTTGCCCAGGCCAGTCTTTAAATCCTGCCTCAAGTAGTTCTCTCACCTTGGCCTCTCAAAGCACTGCAATTATAAGCATTATCCACAGGTGTTTTTATAGTGCTTGCATAAGTAATCTTTCACTTCTCTGTTAAAAGGAGAAAGTGACTTTTAAGGCAGTTTATGGGAAGAGAGAACTCATGATCATACTGTGGCCACGTCAGTTAAGTTTTAAGCTCAAAATGGGTTCTTCTTGGAAAAAGAAATTTATTTTCTTTTCCTCGTTGTATCGCGATACTATCAATTTAGCATGTGCCATAGAGAATTCAAGTTGTCGTAGGTATGTTGCAATTTTTATTTCTCAGGAGAGAGTGAATTTCAGATATTTTTTGAAGGTGTTTTAAGGATTATATACATATATACATAAGAATGTCATAATAAGGTCATGCCATGGTGTTAGTTTTTCTCACACTTGTGGAGTGAAATATGTGGATACCATATATTAAAAATAATGGCAAAAACCGCAATTACTTTTGCACCAACCTAATACAAAGGTACATTTAAAAACTGCTGAAGCCAAAGGACCAGCCAAGAGTTTATCAGATCTTAGGGATCTATTAATGTTTTCTTCACAAAATCCCAGGACCAGGAAAAGGAAAACAATTGGGGCAATCCCTTGTAGTTTTGTGTGTCAAGATTTGACCTGTATTCCAAGGATCTTGATTTTTATTTCTAATAAAAGAAAAATGTTTTCTTCATGAACCCACGGAATCATATTGATTCTGTAGCATTGTTCTCCATTTTCAAATGAAGAATATTAGTGCCAGAAGTCAAAATTGAGCTGCTTTTGTCCTCAGGTTGAACTTTCTTAGCTTGAATATGCCTAGAAATTCAATGCAAGAGTTTCAAGGGTATATGGCTGCTCATGATCATTTTTTTCCCCTTGTATTAAAGCAAGGATATGTCGCTAATCTGCGTCCCACCACCCCATGTCATCTATACATTAAGTCCTACATTTGGCTGTTGTGGGTAACCATCCCTCGCTTGCTGTGGGTAGAATTTTGCAAGGTTGCAGAGTAAGACCTGTCAGCTGACACTGGCTCACATGAGAACCATTAAGAGGGTGGTGTGGCCAATGTCAGAACAACCTTGCAGCTGAAGGCAAGTCACTGCGTTGCCCAGAGCCATGTGAATAGGTCTTGTGACCAATTAATTGACTACTACATAATCTCCAGCTAGGGAGCACAGATGGAGTGAGTCAGTCCAAGCTGCTCAACCTGTTAAGTGTCTTGTCTCTGCTAACTGGAGTATAAGCTTAGGAACAAAAGTAGGACTTGTCTACGTTTGTAATGGGATTGCAGACAGCACATTTTATAATGTAATAGATGGATCTGACTTCCTAAATTATTGGCGGGGTTAATTCACGTAACAAATGAATGTTCCACCTTTTTTTTTTTTTTTTTTTTTTAACTTTTGAAAGGGGAAATTAGTACGCTGCTGCCAATTAGCTTTTCTCACATGCTGTGTAGCAATGTAATGATTGTTTAGAACTGCCGGTCACTACGGAATATTCCTCACATAACAAAGGAACTTCAGGATTTGTGTCCAAGTCCATGTTGGTGGTTGAGGTAAACCGGAAGAACATTAAACCGCTCAGGAGATGTGTGGCGGCACAGGGAAGACCACAAAGCAGCCCGGGAGCTGGCAAGACTCAGCCAGATGTGTGAGTGATGCTGTTCCTGGTGCTGGGAAGATTTACAGGGTGCTTTTATGCTCAAAGATTAAAAAACACGCCGTCGTAGACAGGAGCACTGACCACACGGAACTCAACAACAGGTTTGAAACTTTAGTTCTGTTTCAAAATCTCGGATAATTTTTTATTTAATTCCCTGTGTACTAAGGAGATGGAGTTGTGTTGATCTGAAAGTTGTTTCTCGTAAGTGATTTTAAGTAGGAGAAATGGGGTTACTGGTGGGTGTGCAGAGACAAGTCCTTTCTCTTATAGAAAAGATGTAAGCATGGGTATTTTTTAGTGACTGTTGTGATTCCACTACCCACCTGTTTTCTTCATTTCATTACCTCTGCTGAAGCCAACTTGTAAGAAATGTTTACATCTTTGTCTCTTGAAGCTTGGATGATACTGTTCGCAGTAATTATCAGGGAAAAAAGGTGCCATCCTGAAGTACCAGCACAGTTAGTAGATGGGGCACAGGCCTGGGAGTTCTCACTTCATAGTCTGCATGGTGGGCAGGTGGATGTGCTTTTCCATTTGGAGGCAGGGTGGTGGGGAAGACCCAGTCTCCCTCTGGAAAACCCTCTCCATGAGAAGGATGCATTCTGAACAGCAAATTTTAATAATGGAACTTGTCTAAAAAGAATAACATACCTGCAATATTCTTTTTGTTTTATTATTAAGTCCACTTTGGAATAATTTATTTATTTTGTTATTAGTGGTACTTAATTGAAACACTATTTGTAAAGAATTTTATTGCATATCAATAAAAACAAAACACTCTTTTGAGAAATGCATTTCATTCCAAATTCTTCCATAGATAGTAAGGAGAGCCAAAAGTTAATGATTAGTGTAAAAGAGAGTTTATAAGTTCATTAAACCTGGGCATGGTGGCTCAACCCTGTAATCCAAACACTTTGGGAAAATGAGGTGGGAGGATCACTTGAGCCTAGGAGTTCAAGACCAGCCAGGGCAACATAGCAAGACCCCATCTCTACAAAATAAATAAATAAATAAAAATAATTAGCTGGTCATAAGGGCATGAAGCTGTGGTGCCAGCTACTTGGGAAGCTGAGGTGGGAGATCGTTTGAGCCCAGGAGTTATTGGTGCAATAAATTGTGATTTCACCCCTATACTCCATCCTGGGCAACTGAGCAAGACCCTGTCTTTTAAAAATAAAATAATAAATTCACTTAAAACGTTTTTTTCCTACAGAAATTTTCTCAAAATTAATATGTCTCATCATCTGTTTATCCCATAATTATGTTTCTTGGTTTGGTTAAAAATAATCAGAATGCAGCTTTTGTTCTGTAAAAATCTTTGTCTTTTTTAAAAATAGAAACTTAATAAAACAGGCAACAGAGTAAGATCTCCCATCTCGAAAAAAGAAACTTAATAAAATGGGATGTAGTCCACGAAAGTGTAGGAGCACAATAGACTGGGGAGTGAGAGAGAAGTGGAGAAGTTACTTTACAAGTGTTAGGTCACACGCTCTTCATTCAGTTAAAGAGATCTATTTGTAGAGGAGGAGGTAATGATATGGTACATTAGAGAAATAACTAGAGTGTTCAGATAATAATTTCACTTTTATATTATCTGTTTTTATCTGTGTCTTATCAAGAAAGGGCGGCTGAGTGATAGGAGAGAGTAATGGAGTGACAACTCAAGTTTATCTGAATCCTGATCCCTAAGCTTTGCTGCCCAGGAGCCTCTAACCCTGGGCCAGTCTCCGCGCTTCTCTGAGTCTCACTCTCAACTGTTAAACTATGTAATTGACTCAGATTATTTTAAAAATTCTTTCTTCTTCTGAGATTCTTAGATGTAGTAGGGCCTTCTGTATTCTCTATTTTTGTTATTCTATACAATTCTAGATCCCCAGATAGCTATTTTGGATGAAAGATTGGGAGTGAATGTCCATGTAAGAAAATAATATGCAGGGCCAAATTTTGGAAACCTCTAAAATTTTTTATTTGAACTGCTGCTTCTCACCTTCAGTGCGCTTGCTATTCTTTGGTAAGATTTTAATCATTTTATTTAAGCGATGGTTTAAACTTTGACATTTTCATGCCTATTATCCTCTTTCCTTGTTTTACCTTCCATTAGATTTACTTCTCTAGTGCTGATAATTTTTTTTAGCACTTTGTAAAATAATGGCATATATTTGTCAATTAATTGGAATTCATCTCTAGTCAAACAACGTGGTATGATAGACCTCATCCACTTTCTCTTCTCCTTACTATGATCTTGGAAACATTGCTTACTTGCAGTATTGTGCTTGGTTTCCAGAATTTCTTTAGGACTTAGGCCAACTTTAGGGTAGAAGTGAATTATTGACAGGTGCTTGCACTGAAGGACCTGGCTCCAGAGTGCTCACGAGTTATCTGTTTGTCCAAGTCATGTGACAGTCAGGTAGCTAGGACTTCCAATCTCTTCTTGTTCTTTGATATCTTAAATCAGTAGTTCCAGGAGGTCTTCTTAGTTCACCACACTGACAAGCAGGGTTTTTTTGTTTTTTTTTTTCTCATGATTTTCCAGTAACCGAAAAGATGAAGAGAAAGATTACACAATTACAGTAGAATTATGTTGTATATGTGATGATGGCCACAGTGTAAAACAGACAGAAACAATGCAGAAAGAAACATGTTGGTCATCTCATTGTGGCTCATGTAGCATGACACATTTCAGGATAGGAATTGTCCTCTGTACCTCCATTTCCATTCCCCCTAACCTCTATAAAGGTGGATGTTGGGGTTCAATTCATTTCATAAAATTCTAGAGTCAACAAAAAACTACAGAGTTTGATAAGAGGTATCCTAAATGGCTTGTAAGTAAAAATACCTTGCTGAAACTCCCTTCAAATCTGGTGACTCTTGGCTGGGCACAGCGACTCATGTCTGTGATACCAGCACTTTGGGAAGCCAAGACAGGCGGATCACTTGAGGTCAGGAGTTTGAGACCAGCCTGAACAATATGGTAAAACCACATCTATACTAAAAATACCAAAATTAGCCTGAACCCAGGAGGCGGAGGTCGCGGTGAGCCGAGATCGCGCCATTGCACTCCAGCCTGGGTAACAAGAGCGAAACTCCGTCTCAAAAAAAACCCAAAAAAAACAAAAAAACAAAATTAGCCAGGCATGGTGGCAGGCACCTTTAATCCCAGCTACTTGGGACACTGAGGCAGGAGATGCACTTGAATCTGGGAAGCAGAGGTTGCAGTGAACTGAGATCATACCACCGCACCCCAGCCTGGGCAACACAGCAAGACTCCATCTCAGAAAAAGAAGAAAATCTAGTGACTCTTAAATATGATGCCAGGTATATAGTATCATCTTCAAACAATTGCTTCTAATCCTCTTTCTTAAAATATTGACTATAGCAACTTTTGAGTTTTTGAAACTTTCCCAGCAAATTAGCAAACAATCCATAGGGCTATTTATATGAGAAATCTGGGACTTGCCACACATATCTGTGGATCATTGTTGCTCTGGTGGCAAAAGAAAACTTGCCATGTCTTTAAAGTATACCCCTTGTACACTGAAGAGGAACTGAAACAGAGCACTTCAGAGTCAATTGTGCTTTACAGTTTCAGATCTTGAAATTTCGATTCAGAAGAAATTCTCTATACTGTTTTAGAATCGCCAGGATAGAAGAAGCAGAAGGATTAATGAGTATAGATATTCATTGTATGTACATTTTAGATGAGGTAATTCTATTAAAAAAGGGAAATCCTTAGACTGTCTGTGGTAGTTACTTAATAAGAAAGTAAGGACAGAAGAAACCTGGATGCATTTTTCCTTGGTGAGCTGCTTCACATAGATAAACTGACCATGATTTTATGACCACTCTATTTATAGCAGTTGGGATTACTGACTAGGAAATATAAAAATAGTCACAGATTTAGAGAGAGAGATGCTAAGGCAACCCACCAAAGAATTCTGAAGAGTATAATAAAAGGTCATTAAAAGGAAGTGTAATGCAGGCTTTGTAGGAGTGGAAAGAATGTTTCTCACTGTGTGCTGTACCTAGAAACAATGTGAAAACCACTCTACCTTGATAGTACTTAATAGAAAATGTAGCTGTTGGACAGGTCAAATGAAGTGGGTAGAGAAAAAAACAAACTCTAGTCAGCTGATGGTCTTGTGCTTTGTGGCAAGCTTCCTTGAGAGGTCATAAATCGTTGGGTGTGACTCTTTCTGATGCATTGGGTATTGCTGTCACACGTTCTTCTGTGCTTCCTGCATTCCTTCCTTTTTTACTTTTATGTACTATGAGAATTTTTCTTTGACTAGTTAGAATAGTTTATTTCTGCTGGCTGATGGTAGGGATTTTGAGATATGATTCCAGACTGATAAGAGTGAATGAGTCAAGGAATGCAGTATCATGTCTGATTTAGGGTTCAAGAACATTTGTCTTTTCCCTCTGAGGATACATCACTTAATGAGGAATAAATCATCAATCTCAATATAGGAGATTTTCGTAGATGCTAACAACTGACATCAGCTTTTGTCTGGGTCATATTTGGATAAGCGTTGATGATATAACAGAGTAAAGCACTTGTTATTAGTCACCATAGCGAACTGCATCCAGAATGGCAGTGTTCCAGGCAGAAGATGAGGTTAGTCCAGCTCTGGAGTCTACGGGCCAGTCACTGATTGGGCAGCTTCTGAAGGCTTTTTTCCTCAAGTTCTGCTCAGCTCTGTGCTGAACTGGAATGCTGGCTGAACTGGTCCTCCAATATCTCTGAGTCTCCTGTTATGACCCCTATGGTGAGTCAGGCTCTGGCTTAGCCTTATCCTTTTATTGTTATAGTGACAAAAGCTGAATAATTTCTGCACAGTGAGGTAGCAAGCCCTGGTGGGAATTGGTGAGAGCAATAACTGTGACCCATCTAAAATTATAACCGTCAAAAGTCACCAAAGGGAATCCAGCCTGTGGGTTCTAAAAACACCAAGGTTCCTGGGAGTTTTCTTTCCTTTTATGACTTCCCAAGGGGATATTTAGGTATCAGGTGTACATCCATCTGTCAGCCTTACGTCTTTAAGCGTTTAAGAAAGGCTTTTTAGGCCAGATGCGATGGCTCATGCCTGTAATTCCAGCACTT